AATTACTTCTTAATATACTTTTCCGCTTTATCCTCATCCAGCTTGTCATTGAAACACCCCGTAGCGGCAGGAAAAGGATTTTCCCAATTTCTGTAGTCCTTTTGTAAGGACACCACTGTGGGGTTGGCAGAATATCGCGTCCAATTCGAGAGGGCTAAGTAAATCGCTCCTCCTGCCGCAATGTAAACTATAATTAACCAGAAAACCCTGAAATCGATGTGAATGTTATTAACTGTAAGAAAAAAGTAAAACATTCTGAGTAAAAATTAATTTTGACCTTTCTACGATATGAAGCTTTGGCATTCCTACGATATTCATTCCATGAACTGTCGTTTGTTTCGAAATATTTTCGTACAGTCGCCACAACCTTTCCATATTTCTTTGTTTTGCCATTTTCACCATTTCCTCGCACAGAAATGTTTGAAATGACTTGTTATTCTTTGTATAGGTATATTTGCAGTTGTATTATATTCCATTAGTAAAATTGTGATCAATTTGTTGATAAGTATAAATGATATTCGCCTTTTATTCGATAGGACTAATGGTTCTAGTATCTATATGGAGGTAAAAGAATTCATTCAATTTTTTGTTCTGCATCTAATTGCAGTAATATACCACATCCAGAGCTACATTTATTAACTTTTTTTTTATTTTCAGTACATCTGCTCTGGCCCATTCTTTATTTTTTAATTTGCGATTTAGCAGATTATACAGGGTATTACCTAACGAATGTTACATATTTCAGGGGTATAATCTAGATCCCAAAATGGTATCGATTTAACCAAATTTGCTTAAACGAAAAATGTCGCAAAGAAAGTTATAGAGTATTAAAGTTTATTTTTTTATTTCTTGTCTTCTCCTTAACTCAGAACCCAGTTAGCCGATTTGAACAAAATTTCCTGTTGCTTTGTTTTTCTTCATGAAGTATGCAGTGATTATGTTCCTATTAGGATAAATCATACAGGACGTTCATTTTATTACAATCCTTTGTGAATATTGATAGGAAAACAGTTATAAAGAATTGCTCAATAAAGTAATTAAAAGCCTCATTAAGATCTCTAATCAGATATAAATTATGCCGTTTCATATTATCTAGCGCTTCTACAAAGTTGGTAATGAAAGTTTCATTGAATTTACGTTTATAAGTAGTAACATTGTTTTGTTCTAAGTTATCCAGCCGATACAAATCGAAAAAATCAGATCAGTTGCCAGAAATTAAATTATCAAGAACACAAATCAAGCCGTCATTCCCAAAATTGATGAAAATATTGAGAATAGTCGAAATAGCCTTCCCTTGCACTCAAGTGGGCCACTTAACAACGTGACTCATGTTCAACCAGAAAACAATTGAACTAAGACAGTGAAATATCTATATGAGTCACAGCTATAGTCCCCGCATACTATGACTTACTTTATTTGTACAAATACTACTCAAAATAATCATTAAGTTTCTCATAGAAAATATTTCGATTTGCAGAAGGCTACCTCAAAAAAGTAATCCAAAAATAAACAATTAAAAGGTTTTAGTCGAATTAATAGTAAAAAATAAACATATAGACAAGGCGAAAACCTCGCATTCGTGGAAGAGATTTTCCGACTCGATTTTTTACATATTCAGATTCGTGAGATGTTCCTTATCATGAATCAAGATGATGCCGGCCGGATATCTGGTGCCCATTTATTTAAACAAACTTTTTTTTAAACAAATTGTAGACATTTTTTTTAGGTTTTTTGGCGCATTATAAACAAAAAAGTTCCTATGCACTATGCCACTAAAATTGATAGTTTTAAAGTTATAAACAAGTTAAGTTGCTAAAAATGCGAAAATGACGATTTTCAACGACCGATTTCCGTGTTAAAAATTGTTATTTTTTATGTTGTCAAGTACCTAAATTAAAGTTTAAACATATCCCTACAAGATGCTGTGAGTTTTTGGGACTCACATTATTCTAAAGCCTTGTTTTTTAATTGTTAATAAAGCGCTATGATCAACGTCTTTTCCGTTGATAATAATTTGCCACATCTCAAACTGAGGATACACCCACCACCATTGTAACAATTTTTTTATTTAAACATCTCTTTCTCTTTGGAAACTGATATCTAAACAACTTCGAAGACAAGCTATTAATTNCATTCCCAAAATTGATGAAAATATTGAGAATAGTCGAAATAGCCTTCCCTTGCACTCAAGTGGGCCACTTAACAACGTGACTCATGTTCAACCAGAAAACAATTGAACTAAGACAGTGAAATATCTATATGAGTCACAGCTATAGTCCCCGCATACTATGACTTACTTTATTTGTACAAATACTACTCAAAATAATCATTAAGTTTCTCATAGAAAATATTTCGATTTGCAGAAGGCTACCTCAAAAAAGTAATCCAAAAATAAACAATTAAAAGGTTTTTGTCGAATTAATAGTAAAAAATAAACATATAGACAAGGCGAAAACCTCGCATTCGTGGGAAAAGTTTTCCGACTCAATTTTTTTGCATATTCAGATTTGTGAGATGTTCCTGAGGCTACACCCACCACCATTGTAACAATTTTTTTTATTTAAACATCTCTTTCTCTTTGGAAACTGATATCTAAACAACTTCGAAGACAAGCTATTAATTAATAATTAATAATGTCACAGGCAATAATTGCTCTGAGAAAAATAATGTTATATACCACAATATATGTATACGTTTCATAAATAACAATCAAAATTGCAGTTCGTTTACAATTCGTTTTTTTTTTCAATGCTAGTTTACGAAAAAGTAATAACGTGTTACTTGGATATTGTGGGTGTAATTGAATGCTGGGAAGCGCTTTAGACCGCAGAGTATTTGTTTTCTACAATATCATTATTAATTAATAGCTTGTTTTTGAAATAATTGCTTTTTAGCTTACCTAGACGTTATTATTAACGATTTTTGACCTTTTACAGTACAGTAAAAATTCAGAAGCTCATATTAAAATGTATAATTAAGAAAAAAACATGTGCAAGCAGATCTTCTTGGGGATCGTTGAAGCAGTTTTTCTTGGTCTCTGTATCCTTTATTGACATCATCTCTATAATTCTAGACAATTGCGCGTAGCGATNAAGGCGAAAACCTCGCATTCGTGGGAGAAATTTTCCGACTCAATTTTTTTGCATATTCAGATTTGTGAGATGTTCCTGAGGCTACACCCACCACCATTGTAACAATTTTTTTTATTTAAACATCTCTTTCTCTTTGGAAACTGATATCTAAACAACTTCGAAGACAAGCTATTAATTAATAATTAATAATGTCACAGGAAATAATTGCTCTGAGAAAAAATTATGTTATATACCACAATATATGTATACGTTTCATAAATAAAAATCAAAATTGCAGTTTACAATTCGTTTTTTTTTCCAATGCTAGTTTACGATAAAGTAATAACGTGTTACTTGGATATTGTGGGTGTAATTGAATGCTGGGAAGGGCTTTAGACCGCAGAGTATTTGTTTTCTACAATATCATTATTAATTAATAGCTTGTTTTTGAAATAATTGCTTTTTAGCTTACCTAGACGTTATTATTAACGATTTTTGACCTTTTACAGTACAGTAAAAATTCAGAAGCTCATATTAAAATGTATAATTAAGAAAAAAACATGTGCAAGCAGATATTCTTGGGGATCGTTGAAGCAGTTTTTCTTGGTCTCTGTATCCTTTATTGACATCATCTCTATAATTCTAGACAATTGCGCGTAGCGATTGTTAAACGATTTGTTCAAGTGTACACTTCAAAATTTATAGAATCATGCCACTTCATGTGAGTACCTATTTAAAAAGTTTCATTGAAAATTGTCAATAGAGATTGCTCATTTGTTAACCACCATTTGTGAATCTACAATAACAGAAGCGATTATAGAACTGTTTTCACTTTTTGAGGATCTTCATCACTTCCAGTCGATTGATTAATGTTTTCTTATTCTTTTCCTCTTGATTAAGTTTAAAACTTTGTCTTGGGAGACCCTCCTTCTATTTTTGGTGACTCGAAGTTGGTTGGGCAGTATCAAGTCCTAATAATTTAATTATAATTTTATGTAATTGTCCAATTGAAAGTTGATATGTTGTAATTAAAGATATGATTTGAAGTCTCAATTTCAACATCATAAAAAAAATCTTCCACTCCGTCGATAGTACTTTAAGATCACATGATAATATTACTGATAACAATTTTTCAAGACATACGGTAATTACTATAGTTGAAGTGGTATACAGTAAATTAATAAATTATGTTAATACCACAATATGTTTTATTTATTTCTCCAATGATTGTATTGTTACTAAAACAATAGCTTGTACAACTTGTTGATAGTATTTAAATCCACAATTAGCAAGCAGTCATCGAAATGAACGTAGTTTATAACTTCATCGTTTTTCTTATCAATGAAAATTAAAAATTAAGACGCATAAAAAAATAAAACAACTATCATGATTTTATCTTGAGACTTGAATTTCACACACGCACTATCTACATTTCGTAAATTAATATTATTTTTTATCTGATATTTGGTAACTCTGTCTATATTGCCACATAGGAATTTAAAAAAAAACACATAATACGTAAATTCAGCTTACTTATCTTTGAGGATTGAAAAAAAAAGTAAAATTCTAACTAGCAATAGGTAGATTTAAGAACAACGCATATGAAAGAATTTTTCTTATTCTTAATGCTTCTATACAAATACTTTTTCTTTGATGCATAAAGTGTAGAAATTAAAATATATTAAATTCCAATTTTTTCATAGATTGATTTTAGATCTAGATCAGTTTGTTTGGTTTGTCGTCAATTGTTTGTTATGGGTTTTCGTGGAATTGGAACTATTTGACCCTGGATGACACTTAAAAAGGATAAAAGCTATTTCTTCACCTTCTAACATATTTTGATCCTGATAACGAGACTTTTTCCATTCTATGGTAATGTTTCGAATTGTCCAAATAGATTTATCTCTCAAAAACATCTATTGACCTTAGGATAATAGGAGCAGCACCAAAATATAAATTTGGGAAATCCGTTATTCTTGCAGTCATCATTGTGTTGTTCGAGAGGTAAGAAAAAAATAGTTCTTTCTGTTCAATTTCAAGTCAAGAGAAAATTCGTTTTGTACTTTTTAAGTATGTATCTGCATCTATGATAATTTAAAAGCACAACTGCATCGCATTGTTGATTTTATGGTTTTTATTTTTTTAGAAAAATCATAATGAGGTTTCTAATTATCCTGACTTCCCTGGTTTTGGCAATTAACGCCGCAACTGACAAGGAGTTGTGGTTGGAATTCAAAGTATGTACCTACTTATAACAATCCAGTTCTATATATTACAATTTTTGCATTTACTCACAGAAAACTCATGGGAAAGACTATAGAAACATAAGGGAAGAGCAAGTCCGATTCTCGGTTTTCCAACAGAACCTACGAAGTATCGAAGAACATAACGAGAAGTACCACAAGGGCGAAAAAAGTTATTATCTAGGAGTGACACAATATTCCGATTTATCCAAGGAAGAATTCCTCTCAATGTTGAACTACAGCAGAGTGGCAAAACCCTCTGAAGATAAACCAGGCCTCTCGCACCAAGTAGCCGACGTAGTAGTTCCCACTGAGGTGAATTGGGTGACCCAGGGAGCCGTGACGGAGGTGAAGAATCAAGGAAACTGTGGCTCGTGCTGGGCTTTCAGTACCGTAAGTACACATAGAATACTGAACTCTACGATTTCTTTCTAGTTGTTGACCAGAATTCCTTTAACCTTTTGATTAGGCTTCACAGCTGTGATAATGCCTTCTTTACATAGCTTCCAATTACTTCCAAACTATAGATTTTGCATTGCTTAGTTAGGATTGCTTCTACTACCTTTCCTGCAATTTTGATTCAGTAGGTCGATCATCAACTATTTCGAATGCCTCTTTAACAACTCCTTGACCTATAACTGTCTCTACCATCACTTTTGTGACGTATCCTTCACCCATTCCACCTATTACCACCTGAGTGTCTTGAACACCGCCGTGGGAAGATTCCAAACCCCTGTAGACTTACAGATGAGCCTGGTGAAGGATTATTTGAATTGGCAACAGTCGAAAAATTGTTCCCGTTTATGCATTTCACTATTTTTTTCAGACTGGTGCCTTAGAAGGAGCCTACGCCATCAAATACGGCACCAAGGTGTCCCTCAGCGAGCAAAACCTTATGGACTGCTCCATAAGATACGGCAACTCAGGGTGTAACGGTGGAGTGATGCAGTTTGCTTACACCTACGTTCGAGACTACGGAATTGAACAGGAATTCGACTATCCCTATTCGGGATATCTGGGAGCCTGCAGGTTTTCCAATTCGCTTAGCGTCTTGAAGGTTTGGCAGTACATGTCTATACCAGCTGGCGACGAAATAGCCTTACAGAATGCAGTCGGTAAGTGTGGATTTGTGCCGTATGAGCGAAATAACTGAAAAGTTTGATAGGATTATATATTATTTCCACTAGAATGAAGAAGAATGACCACATTAAAAATAAATCAACATCTATTTTACTTAAATTACATAACACACAACTTGAAGTTTATGTATTTAGGTTATCTACCTCCGCAGACATATGAGATATCAATATATATCAGTTGTTTCATCTTCATACTCATTGATAACCTCAATGTAAAAAAATTGGTTCAAGTTCATTAAAATTTTAAAAACTGATTGATTTGTACCGATTTTTTTCAGCTACCGCTGGACCTGTGTCGGTAGCGGTAAACGCTGACTACTTCCAGCAGTACGCTGGAGGTATTTTCAGCGAACCCTATTGCACAGGCGACCTCAACCACGGAGTCCTGGTGGTCGGATACGGAGAAGAGTACGGAAGTACCTACTGGTTGGTAAAGAATTCTTGGGGACCGTCTTGGGGAGAGGGTGGATATATTAAGATAGCTAAAAATAGTGGGAATGAATGTGGAATAGCTACCGACGCCACGTATCCAATTTTGCGCTGATTTTTTGAAATTTTGTTGTATTTATTTGTAAATGTTAGATATGTGTTTAGAAAAATAAAATTAGTTTAGAAAACACATTAATAATAGTTTTTTTGCTCGACTTATTTACTAAAAATACTGGATTAATTATTATTAAACAATTGCAGAATGAAACAGACATTATACAGTGGAAGAGTCAAATAGAATAAATTCAGTATTTCAATGGAAAGAGAATGGAAATACCTTACAAATGAGGTATCATAACCCCACTAAAAAATTTAGGGGTTGCAATTGACACTCGTTAATAAAAAACAAGAATAAGAGAGGCCCTAAATTAGAGCCTTGTGGAACAACTGAGGAGGGAGAAAATGAATTATGACCATAAATTGTCTATTCGTTAAATATGATTTCAGTAGTTCCATATTGTAATAACTATAACTATTCTGGGCTAAACAGCTGTATTATTTTTGATTTTTCATAACTGAGTTTTATATATATATGATTCCAATATTTGTACTTAGTTTTGAGTAAAGGGGATTCCAAGAAAATTTATTTCGGGAACATTAAAGGAAAATGTTTGTATATCGAATGTGATCGATCTGTAGTGAACCGAATACGAGGTAAAAGAAATTAAAGTATATTCTAATTAGTTTAATAAATATTATATTTCGGGAACTTTTTTGGTCTTCTAGTTCCAACGTCTTAATTAAATGTCCCTACAAAATCGCGACAACGCATCTCTATACAAATTCCCATGAATTGTGATGTAAACATAACATAAAGACAACTTTAAGGGGAAAAAATTCAAATGATATGTTCGAACCAATTGTTTATTGGTAAATTTCGTGATTTTTATAAAAAAACTACAAGAAAATCAAATTCAAGTTATTGACAAATCTCAACAGGTATATATTGTATTTTAATAACTAGTTTGATTCTTATCTACATTCAACTGAAGTGAAAAATGACATATAATTGAAATAATTGCAAAGGAAACTTTTCTCCATGATTTAAATATAATTACTTTTTGTAAATGATAAGAGTATTTGAAGATATTGACGTATATTGACGTCTGCTTTTTTTTAGATACAATCTTTTAGGATTGACAATGAGTTAACACAAACCAATATTTGATCATCTTAATATATTTTTACACTTATAGCAATGAATTTATAAAATAAGTCTAATTTATATAAAATATAACCCGTGTGTAAATAGGATGGTTTGAAGAAAAGTACTCGAGTAATGAAGGAGGGTGTAATAAGGCCTAAGTGCCGTGGTGGAAAAACAATTCCACCACCCTCCGACATGCATACATACATACATACCAATTCTGTAATAACTGTTTTATTTTTTAAAATAAGGTTGATATTTATTTGTTGCTGCAAATTATGAGTTGAGTGAAGCATCAGTTTGATATGAGTGAAAGGTTAGTATAGATTTAGGGAATTCTCTGAATTTGGCCCTTAGAGTGTGATGGATTTTATGTAAATAATTGCAATATTTCTTATTTTAACTCTGCATTTTATGCTTGTTTCTGAAGGTTTTTAATCTGTTAACTTATATATTTT